TACACCGTCGATGCAACGATCCTTCGAAGTGGGAAATATGGACCCTTTGTTTCTCTTGCAACTCTCATTCTCACAATCGCTAATTTCATGCTCTGCTTTTTTTGTCTCAACTTGACTTGTTGGTTCTTTCATGGCGCCTTTATTTCTCCTCTCATCTTCCTCTTCCTCTGCCCCCTCTGCCCCCTCTTCCTCCTCTTCCTCATCTTCCTCCTCTTCCTCCTCCTCCTCCTCCTCCTCTTCCTCCTCTTCCTCGTCTTCCTCGTCTTCCTCCTCCTCAGCCTCTTGATCGGCCACCAAATCGTCCATGTCGGAGCGACGTGGCCGCGAGTCACACTTTTGCCGCTTTCGTCGTTTTAAGCTCGCCGACATGTCGTTAAACTCACCACCTGCCTCCAACTCCTGACCCGAAACGTTGGCGTTGGCCTCAACATCGGCGTTGACGTTGGCGTCGGCGTCGGCGTTGGAATCGGCGTTTCGACTCCGCTTGGCGGTGGAGTAGAGGGAAGAGATGCCGCAGAGGTTTGGGTCACCCGGATCTGACAACCGGTCTGTCGACTGAATCAAGCCGGTTGTCCAGTCGGGGTCGAGGTCACCGGACGATCCGGAGACGCATCGCAGCGGAGGCTGCAAGCCGGTCGTCTGACAATGAAAGGCAGCGGAGTTGGCATTCAGACTTCCTATGCTTGCGTCCGGCAGACCGGGTAGCTGAGGCGCAAAATGGACAGAAAATCAGTCCCATAATGAGGTGGCAAGATATCCTCGTCATGTGAATCGACTTTTCATTTCGTCGAAAGACTTGTTTGGAAGGACTTCGTGAGTTGGTCCCACCGAAAACCGACTCCGATGAATCCGGTGGGCAGAGGACTTCATCGCACAAGTCAACCTTCTCTACTCCAGAATAATTGCCCCTCGGTTTCCGAGGAAACTAATACACAAATCTATTTTAACCAAATTTCCCTTCCAACTAAATTTAAAATTAACATAAAAATCTTGAGATGACTTTCATTTCGTATGATAATGTAGGCCGAAGATATTTGTAGCTTGGTCTCACGGAAAGACGACGGCCGAATCCCGTTGTTATGCTGCCGTTTGGCCTTAATACAAATTTCGCGTTGACGCAATCCACACAACATTCGCCCTGGGCTGAGTTCTCGCTAGTCAAGCGTCATGATAGACAGCTTCAGAGCTGGAACTCATTCGGCATTATTCTACATGTTATATATGCTTGTAACTAAGGCATAAAATACGTATATATATAGTTGACTATGAAATTATTTGGCTTTTTTTCATCCATATTAATCAGACTATTTACACTTTACTTTGATTGTGTCTGTGTGTTGTAACGTCTGTTCGTGTGTAAGTCAGAATAAGCAATACCATCCAAAAGCTAAACTACAAAAGAGCCTAACGCCGGGTCTAGGGTCATCAGGGCGTACTGAGCCATGGAAACAATAACAACAACAACAACAATGTTATTGCAAGATGTTCATGGCAAACCAGTCACTCTTCGTATATGGACGTTTGCTCCCGAGAGGCAGCTTGAAGTTCTGGGAGTTATGACACGCCAGACAATTCGGTGGCTGTGCTCAACGCCATGACGACAAGTTAGGGCGGTCAAACTTACCTCCCTTTGGCCCGTTTCATTTGCCTTATACCCTCCACCCAAAATTCTCTCTTCCGCCGATCATACTTTAAGGCACATTTGTCCTACCTAACTCTATTTCATCCCCTTCCTGTATACTTCACTCCCCTCCCCCTACCTATGAGGAGAGTGTGAGGCTAATTCACAACTTTAACTTTGTAATGAAAAATTGTGTCGCGCAAATTGTTATGTGGCATATTAATGTGCATGATGATCTTAGCGGACTCAATCTACGAGACAATCATCCTCGTTTCGGTTTAAACGAACTGAGTTTCCGTCTGCCAATCTTTTAAAAGCCTACTCAATGCTAAGTCAAGAAGACTATACGGATCTATTCTACATGCTAATATACATTTTGTTTCCGGTAGGTTTTCGAGACTATCAGTAAATCAGATATATTAGATCTGTTCATCCTATTTCATTTAAAGTAATAAATGACTGGTAGTTGAATTTTCCAGCAATGATAAGAGTAGTCATGACGTTTCCATCGAATTTAACAAAGCCTTGCTTTCCAACCCTGCATGAGAATACCTTTTGGGAAGGCAAGTCTATGTGAAATTAAATGGAAACGTCATGTTTAGTCGTATCATCGTGTGAAAATTCAACTTTCATTCCTTTATCACCTTAAATGCAATAGGATGAAAACAGCTCATATGTTACTATAGCTACTCATAACTAAAAACGAATATATACAAATGTAGATGAGTATGGAATAATTTGGTCAGCTCATTTCACATAATTCAGGTGTATGCGTGTGCTCGTGGTGACATCTGTTTGCATGCAAGTCAAAGTACGCTTTACCAGCTATGATTCACAATAAATTTAAAAGAGCCTGACGTCAAACCAGGTTCATCCAGGAAAGATGACCCAGATTCGCCATGTTTGCTTTCGGCAAACCGGGTAAATGAGACGCAAAACGGACAAAAAGCAGTCCCTTTTGAGTTGGCAAGACAACGCATCATGTGAGTTGGCTTTTTATTTTGTTCGTTAGCTTGTTTGAAAAAGATTCGTGAGTTGGTCTTACTGGAGACTGACAGGGCTAATTCACAAATCTTTTCAACCATCTTTTTATTTGAAATGAAGAGTTAGGTCGCATCAAAATGTTAAGGATTCTTTCTACAATCAGTTTTTTTCGTTAAATTTCGTCAAGTCCATCCTAATTGTTCAAACATTAAGTTTTGTAAATATGAAATGAAACTTGTTTTCGAGGACATCGTTACGAAGGCGTGAGTGTGAAGAGAAGTTTCCCAACAAAGTAGGGCATAATCTGAATTCACCGAGGTCTATGGTTGATGAGCTCACCATCCAATTGTTATAAACATAAGGCAACAACTTTTCTTCGGTTTGAATTGAATCCCTCTCATAAACCTCTTCCAGCCAACCTTTTCATCGAGGATTCCCTAAAACTGAAGTAGCAGTGCTTTGTAGTTGCGAAGACGTCCTCCAACCTACCTTTTGCGACCCAGAACAATTCTTGCTGTGATTTCGTCCCTACCGCCGTCCGAGCGTGGCATTATTCTTTGGAAAAATCCACCAAGTATGTAGAAAAATCATAAGATATCACATTAACTGGGTAAAGTTGTGCGCCAAGAAATAGGTGGGATTGCGGTTGGCCATATTTATTCACCTAATGCCAGCTGAAAGTGTCTAAAGGATGTTTTTCAGTTTCCATGACCAATTACTGGTTCTAAATGGAGTAAGGTCGTGAGAAGATGCGCCGAGTAACTCTTGGAACAGTGACAAAGTCACCACTATAAGGTCATCCTTCTACAACACCTTGTGGGTCCAATTTACGAATTCCTTCCCAAAACGGACACTAACATGAAGCCGTCAATAAAGGAGGAAATCAGGTCCGTTGAGTTGGCAAATTTCAGCTTTTTATCGCGCCTCAAAAACAGATACAAATACGACTTGATTCCTAGACAAATCTTAAACAATCCAAGGAGTAGCTGAGTTTCGATAGGCCTCTTAAGATTTCATTTTATAGGAAAGTCCGGATTCATATAGCCCTGTTTTATCCGAAACGATGAAGGATATCTTGTGGACTGCGTCGAAATGAACGTTTCATTAAATTCAAAAGAATGCAGAACAACAGAAATCGGCTGTCGTATTTCCGTGAGATGAATCAACGAGTCTCTTTATCATTCATTTTCATACGAAATGAAAGTCCCCTAAGCAAATCTTCAAAGGAAAATAGTATATTGATAGACTTATATTGGTATATACTGTCAGCTTCATTTCGTCTTCATATCGTTGCTGAGAATTTCATTTCGTATGAAGGTGGATGATGAAGAGATTGGTAGTTTGATCTCACCAGAAGACGATAGTCTCAAGTTAACTCAAGATCAATCAGATTGTTTGGCTCTATCCTACATGCAATATATACTCAGAAAAAGATCTAATTAAATCATTTTACATCTGTCTATATACAGCCACATATTTTGGTTTTTAATTTATGAGTATATATAATGTGTAGGGTGACTCAACTTGTCGGCTCAATGATGCTTCTAACCACATTCACATTCGTTCGATGAGTTCTATTAAACCCATCCACCCTACACAATCAGAACTCCTTCTTGTGCCCGAATACATTAATGATCCTAAATTGACGGGTTATGACTGGTGTTTTTGTAACCTGACTGGCACACATGCATGCTTACATTTATTCCTCTCAATCACAGTTTTTGACGTGCTTACACATTCTTGGTCATACTTTTCCCTTAGTCATTAATTCTATTATAAGATGTATTCAGCCAATTTCGTTTAAGGTGATGAAGTACTGGTAGAAGTAGAATTTTCCCACAAATGATATGAGTTGAGCTGACGTTTCTATTGAATTTTTACTTAGATTTGCTTTCACAAAAGTTGTTCTCATCCAGACATAAGTGGACTGCAGTTTCTACCTCGCATTGGTCTTATCAACACCATCAGCGGGAGTCGAACCGCGACAGTGCAGGACGGTAGCTTGACA